AAAAAAAAAAAAAAAAAAAAAAAAAAAAAAAAAAGTGATAGCCACTGCCAAACTTATCTCCCGAGACTAAGGCCACTGAAACACAAAACTCTGGTGCTTTTAGGAGATATTTTTAATTATGTGTATGTAGGTATATGCAGGTATATGTAGGTTAGTATAGGTGCCAGCCAAGGCCTGGAGTTGGATCCCCCAGAGCTGGAATTATAGCCATTATAGGTGCTGGGAATGGAATTCTGGACCCCTGGAAAAGCAGTGTATGCTCTTAACCACTGAGCTCTCTCTCCTGCCCATTAGAGAAATTTAGGCACCACCACAGAAAAATAAAATTAATGGATATGAAACTCATTACAGTTCCTTTCTGATTTTTAGTGTTTATTTTGTGGGAGGCTATTACAGGAAAATAAAACTTCAAGAATTTACAGTTGATTGGAGCCGTGTAACCAGCACAGCAAAATAAAATAATAGAAACTAGGGTGTCAGCTGTGATGGAGGCCAGGCAGCTACAGGGGGAAAGGTGATGGGGCTGAAATGCAGCCTGGGTGGATCACTGAGCAGAAACATCACTGGGAAGCTAGCAGGGAGCTGTGGAGTCGGCTCAGTGCTTGGAAGTGCTTCCCACTGTTGCAGAGCAATGTTGGCAACTGCCTTATCTCTAGCTCCACAGAATCCAGGGCACCAATAGTTCCTTTCCTGTAAGAGCCCACACACAAAAAGTAAATCTTAACAAAACAAAACACCCAGGAGTCATGGACACAAGGTCAAAGACAGTTAACTCACGAACTGTTAGATATCCATAAAATCCTGTGGCTTCAAAGAACTGTTAGTTGCTATCCTTATGTATTTTGGACTACCATCTAAGGGTGTTGTTCTGTTTCTTTGAGACAGAGTGTCAACTATGTATCCCTGGCTTGTCTGGAACTTGCTATGAGACCAGACTAGCTTCAACTCACAGACATCCTCCTGCCTCTGCCTCTTGTTTTGGGATTATAGGTGCATACCACCAAGACTGGCCTCAGACAGCGTACTTACTGAGCCAGAGGGAATGGTGCTCATCTGTGTGAGCCTCTCTATTGCCTCTTACATATATATTTTTGAGATTTTAATGGTCAAAATAACATCAACAACCACTATTTAACCATTTTACACATCTGGCAGTACGCAAACTTCCTAAAGTACCTTGTGAAACAAATTGTGTCCACTAAAAGCCTAATTAAACCTCTTAGGTTCTGAATAAAATGAACAATTTAACTTGCCTCTCTTCGAGGCCATTTTCAGAATTACTAAGCTCTAACTAAACCAGTAGTCCTCAACCTACGGGTTAAGATCCCCTTGTAGGGTGAACAACCCTTTCACAGGGGTTGCATATCAGATATCCCGAATCTCAGATATTTACATTATGATTCGTAACAGCAGCAAAATTAGTTATGAAGTAGCAACAAAAGTAGTTTCATGGTTGGGGGTCAGCACAACATGAAGAACTGCATTGAAGGGCTATAGCATTAAGAAGGCTGAGAACCACCAAACTAAACAATACTTTTAACAGATTTTTATATCAATCAAGTGAAATTATTTCCTCATTTGGCAAATAGCACTTTATAATGGCAATAAAACCATTCCAAAACAAGGCAATATCCTTTATCTGTTTATTAATAAAGTAATTATGATTTCTGAAAAAAAAGTTGTAAAATGTGCACATATTAATGTAGGTTAGGCCATCCAAAGTACAGAGCAAAGTCATGGTCCAGGTTCACACAAATGAGAAATAAATACAAGGCTAAGCTACTTGATAGGTAAAGACAACTAAGGTAAACTATATTTCAAACTTGTTTATAGAAAAGCATATTAAATATAACCTTAAATAGTATCCATCTTTTCTTTTAAACAGGCATAGGCTTGTCTGCAATCATGTACAAATATAATAAACTAACAGCTTTCCTAGCCCCTTAATACAAATATGATTCCTTGCTTTATGTAACCCAATAACATAACATAGGGTGAAGTCATTAGAAAAATACGGGCCTTTCTGAATCTCTATTGTATTTTAAATTTAAAAATACAGCTTAGATCATATGAAATATGAATTACAGATTTATATCTTATCTGTACTTTTACATATGTTCTTGTTAATTTGACTGAATTGCAAAAATATGATTTAATATCAGATTAGTTAAAAATACTCATCCATGGACAGAAGTACTGGTTTATAGAACGAGATGTAAGCTAAGCATATTTCTGAGTTACTGCCTCTTCAATGCCCCAAATACACAGGCTCTAACACTAAGCCCTTAATATAGGTTTGATTCAGAGAGAACGGGAGGGCTCACGACTCATCTCAAGCATTCCTGTAAACAGTCAAAATCTGCTTTCTCTAAGAATTAAAATTCAAGTAAAACACCATATATTTATGTAAGCTGACCTGTTATGCTCATAAGACATTGAATCATAACCACTATGTAAAAAGTTTTTAAAAAATCATTCTTATGTGAGGAGAAAACTCAACTTTGTAAACATGTTCATTTCAATAGCTGGTGTACTGCAGCTGCTTTGGTTGGCACAGTGACAGTGGCCAGGTGCCACAGGTACTGAATGTCAGGTACCTCTGTACCCAGCAAACCAAGTCTCCTGTCTGATGTTTTTAATGGCAAGGGCAAGACCTGAAATTCAACTTTATTTTATTTAATTTTTTTACAAATGTTCAAGTGTTTGAAATTTTGGCAAAGCTTAATTTTTGACCTGGTCTCCCCAGCAGACAGTAGACTCAATGCCAGTTGAAATACTGAAGAGCCAGCCTTCCTTGGCTCCCATACCACTTCTTGGCCCCTAATGAATGGCCACTAATATGTATGAACATATTCAGCCTGGACCAGTGGTAAAGGACTTGCCTACTATGCACAAGGCCCTGGGCTTGATTCCCCAGTACTAAAACAAAAAACAAAACAAAACAAGAACCAGGTAAATATTTTAGATTGGAAAAAAAAAAAAAAATGATGGCTATAAAGGCTACCAAAGCCAAAACCTAAAAAGTTTACTATGCTAATAAACAAATGATAACAACTCAGTAAGATGATACTTCTACATGATAGCATGTTAAGGGGGCAAACTGTGCTAGGTGCATGCAAATCCCTTGATCTAAAGACAGAAACAGAAAGACTGGGTTACTTCTAAAAGCAGCATGCAAACTACCAAATTGAGGTTGTATTTTTGGTTGGTAATTGATATTTCTCTCCTGGTTTTTTCACAGAGGGTTTCATGTAGCAAAGGCTACTTTTGAACTCACTACAAAGCTGAGAATAAACTTGACTTTCTTGCCTTAGGCTCCCAAGTGTTGAGACTACCAGTGTGTACCAGCATGCCTAGTAGTAATTTGTAACTCTTAATTCATTGTCTTTTATTTAGTTTTGAGAATTCCATCAATTCCACAAATTGCAAAGTTGGAATAGAAGGTATCTTCATCTTTGCAGGACTGGAAAACCACAGCATTATCTATAGTATAATGTCTGATACACAGAGGATTTCACAGACACTTGGTGGATAAATGAAAAGCAAGGTTGTTTTGCACACTTCAATATTGGGGAATATAGGGAGTCCTGTAGTCCAATTCACCCAGGATGCGCTCTCCTTTACACTGTGTGTACAGACACCACAGGTGTACAGACCCATATAGTCCAGTACCTGCACATTTGAGTGCGACTTCTCTCTGCTGGTCTCAGTCTAAACTGAGACCAGCATTTCTACATTGTCTTTCTATAGAACACTGGACTAGTCTCCTGATAACAACCATTCCTGTTAAAGTCAACAGGTGACTGTTAGGGAGTCAGACTTTTTCACATGCGTCAAGAGTCTCAGAATTTAAAAGTAGTGTCTGTGTGCACCAGAGAGCACATGTGAACGTCAGGAGACTCGTGGGAATTGGTTCTCTCCTTCCACCATGTGGCTGATCTCAGATTGTAGGTGTGGGAGCAAGTGCCTTTATCTACTGAAACATTTCTCCAGCCCAAGACTGGGAATTTGTTTTATTTATTTCACTTTCATCTAAAGTGCATTTTCAGCCACTGTTTAAGCTGTTATAGGATTATTGTAAAGTACCACAGTAACTTTTAGACATCACCTAAACTGAAAGTCTGTTCATTAGCATTTTGTAGCTTACATACTTTTATGGCTGAGAATCTGTTTCACTGTTTAAAATATTCCTTCTACCTTTCTCTCTTTTCTTTAGCCACTTCCACCTATTCATCATACTGTGTTGGATCCGTGTATAGCTCGTGAACTTCTGTGCTTCCATGCCCATATAAATTCCCCTGAAAATTCAAGAAATAGTAATCAAAGAGCGGAGAGTACCCAAAATACCTCTTTTACTACCATGTTTCTTCTGAGCCTTGGGCACACACTACACCCTATTAGTGCTTCTTGTGCTCTGCTCTTTGGACACAGTCCCTATGTGACCTAGGCAAGACTCAACTGACAGCAGTCTTGCCTCAGCCTCCTAAGCGCTGGGATTACAGGTGTGTGCCACTGGCTTGCATTATAATGCTTCTAACTAAAACTTCACTGAATTATATCAACATCTTCAATGTTCTAAATTATTATATTTAGGTATCTGAATCCTTCTGAGTGTTATTTCATAACCAATAATAAAAAAACTTTATTAAAATGTTGAAAAGTATAAAACAGTAATTATAAATTAGTAAACATCTAATAAAAAAAAAAAGCAGTGTTTTCTTTCCCTTATATAGCGCAACAATCAGTGGTTTGGATGTCATTTTTAGCCACCATTTGCCCTAGATTTACTTCACCGAAGACAACTTTTTAGTTTGTTTTTGGGGTGAAAAATCTATGTGGATACTAAGAAATAACTATTGTTTTTAACTCAGTTGTTAGAAATACAAATGCCATGTTAACATGTGAGGATAGCATCTCAAGACAGGTGTTATTTCCAAAGGAAAATTAAGTCACTTTTGAGGTGTGAGGCAATGCTGCACAAATGGACACTAAAAATTAAGGCATCTTTCTGCTCCATAGTGCTTCTGTGGATCCAGCAAACTGTACAAACTCTTCCTTTTAAAAAATATATCTTCTGTTATACTTCAATTATTTCATTCCACCGATCATTTTTCTTGCAAATAAAACTGAAAATAGTCCAAAATGTGTTTTTATATACCTACAAAACCAGAAAAAATTGAATTATTAGTTGGAAGCCAATTTTTCCATTTCCTTAAATACTTAGTAGATGGTCCTATGGACAAACAACCAACCAAATTCTTGAATTTTACTACAATAATACAAACTTTTGTAAATAGTGAAGGAATCATCATCAAGCTTTCAACTTGCACTCAGGGCACCCTGAGAGAGTCAGTCCTCATACCCACCTACTGCTAGAGAAGCACCAGGTGGCTGGAATGGGTCTGTACCCACATATGCAGACCTGCAGCTAGCTCTTCACAGTGGGACCTATTTGGCCTGATGGAGGATTGAAACCCCTGCCTCTGGAGCCTGGATCTCACTTTGTCCTAGGTCTTGGGCCTCGCCTCTAACTGCATAGGCTCCAGGTTCTCTGCAAAGACCTGACCTTATGACAGATAAGCCTAGAGTGGAGGATGCAGGTGCTCCACTTGGCAAGACCCCGTATGAGATACTCTGGGAAAATAAAAGTAGCCAGAAAGCAAAGGGCGTAGGTGAAACAGAGGCCATGAGGCACGGCTTTCCTTTTTGTGCTCTTTTCTGTTGGATCAGCTGATCCAGTAGGGAGAGCAGGGAAACGCTCTGGCGGTTCTTGGTATTTTTCTGTGTTAATTGTTCCCAAATAAAGACCCATTTATCATTTATTTTGGGTCTAGTGACATAATTACACCCTCGCCTTCAGAAGGGGATACTAGGCCATAGAGGTTTGAGACAATCTTTGCTGTGTCTTACAGAGTAACATTAGTGAACCTAGAAGCCCTTTGTCCACCTTTAGTCAATCTTCACTTGATCAAACTTCAATAATGGGCACCCATTGTTCATTAAACTAACTAGTAAGGTGCTGTCTCCATGCTTGCATGTAAATTTTTGTTTTGTTTTGTTTTTTGGTTGAGACAGGGTTTCTCTGTGTAGCTTTGGAGCCTATTCTGGCACTCGCTCTGGAGACCAGGCTGGCCTCGAACTCACAGAGATCCGCCTGCCTCTGCCTCCCAAGTGCTAGGATGTAAATCTTAAACATTTTCAATTAGCTTCTTCATTAATCTACCAGTAAATGATTAGTAACGTTGTGTTAGAAGCAGTAAGGAAAATGAGATTCTGGCAGAAGTCATATTCCAGTTGCAGGCCAGAACTGCTTGATCTGGGTGATATAGTTGAAAAAAAAAAAAAAAAAACTACAAACTGTTTTGAGATGAAATATGCAAATAAACTACATTTTGCTGAAGGAAATTACCTTTTTATTGTCTTACCTTGCACTCATCAAATGGTTAGTTATGAACAAGTAGTACTCAATTTTCTATTGCCACTGTAACATGGTTATTTGTCCCTGTAAACATATAATTAATTATAAGACAAAAGAAGGATTAAGTTTCTGGCTACATGGAGAAGTTAATTACACTGAAAAGAAGTTATTGAATATTAAAGGTTTAATGACAACTATTGGCCTCTGTGTAGAAGGTAGGCATGAGTACAGCGTGTTAAGAGTTGGCTAGGTTTTCTTATATTTATCTTGTGAACATGGCTGCTGGGTTTAGATGCTAAGCAGCAGTAATTAAGAAGTACATGAAACACAGCTCTCCATATCCATTACTTTACCTAGGACCTGAATAACCTTAAAGACCCCAAGACACTTATTAACAGATTCCCTTCATTTATTTATGATTTTTTTTTTTGACACAAGATTTCACTCTATGGCTCAGGTAGGCCCGAAATTCATAGGAATCCTCCAGCCTCAGCTCCCCAAAGGGATACAAAGGGGTGCTACTGTGAGAGGTGAGGTAAATGCTTCTCAAAGCTCAAGCCCTCTGCCTACCACCCCAAGATCAGAGCTATTCAGACCATTCACAGGGTACTTCTGGAGTTACTATGAACTGATCTGACAATCTCAAAATGTTTTCCTATAATCAAGCAGATTACTGACAGGCATCTTACCATTGGAACCATGAAGTACCTGAGAGCCTGAGAAAGCTTTGATTTGGGCTAGTGATGCTAGTTAAGTGGTCAGATGATAGTGTAAACCCAGTTCTGCTCAGAAATCCCACTCAGCCTTAGCAGTTGTTCTGTACTGCATCTATAGTTCATGGGCTTGTCACTACTCTTTAAAGAGTACAAAGCTCACTACACCCCAAGGGAGGTTTTACAGCAGCCTTGCTAGTATACAACTTGTTGATTCTCCTGCCTCAGCAACCCCAAGAGCTAGAATTACAGGTATGTGCCACCATAGCCAGTTGAGTACAATGCACTTAAAAAATTATTTTCAATTAAATATATGCTGGAACACTAAAAACAGTTCTTAAAATATTATTCAGCTTAGCCAATGCCAAACTAACTTTCCTTATCTGGGTGAAGAAGCGTGTGGCTGGGAAGCAGCCCTGCTGAACAGAGCAGAGTACAACTCCACTGACATTCTATCAGTCAATATGCTCTATTATCTCAAATGTCACACCACTTCATTTTATACCGTTTGTTGAGTCTGGTGATTCTCATCTGGACCAGACGAGAGTTATTACCTGATCTGGTGACTCCTTCTTCAGCTCCATTCTCTAGCCACTGAGATTCACTGTCCAACAAACGGTTTTTTGATTCACTAAGTGGTTTGATAGGAAAAGGTTGATTTGAGCCAGTACTGGAAAAGGAGCAGACAATTCAGTGAATAGTTTAATGCTCAATTAACAATACTTAATAATTAATAAGCGGCAAATTAGTATTCCTTCTCTGAAATATGTGAGGGCAACTCATGAGATCTTAGCACTCTGAAAAGGCTATCTCCAAGAGAAAAATAGGCCCACAACCCCCGCCCCCAGTCAAATAACTCTTGGGCCCAAAAGTGTGTATTTCAACACTGCCAAAGAAACCAGTTAGACTAAGACACTGCTTCAGGGCCAATGGGAAAGGGCTTTTAACACTTGTTAATTGGGAGCTGGGGTGGCATAAGGACAGGTGAAGAGCTATGTCTGTGGCCAGTACAAAAGTTACCTGTCATCTCCCAGATCTCTGCTTTCTACCTCTGCAGTTTAGATCTAAGGGGAAAAAATGATTCAGTAATTTATCGTAGACTTATTGTTCTAACTCAGAAAACCAGGGAGGAAGGAAATGGAGGAGGAAAGGAGGAAAAAGGAGAGAGGTTTGCTAGGAACTTCTTATGGGCGGACACTACACTGGGTGCTACACACTATCTCCACCCTCTCAAGAACCCAGGGAAAGGAAACAGACTTGCCTGAATGACTTGTCTAGAACCACAGCAAATGCTAGAGCTGAAGGGTAGAAGGCTTTGGTGCAGTGCTGAGGCCTGCCTGCTGACATCAACATGCTAGTTTGGAGCTTAAAGCCCTCCTCACCTCCCCCCCCTCAAACCCAACCCTGTGTAGCTCTGGCTGCCCTGGAACTCACTTTGTAGACCAGGCTGGCCTCAAACTTATAGAAATCTGCCTGCCTCTGCCTCCCAATTGTTGGGGTTAAAGGTGTGCACCACCATGCCTGGCTACCTTCCATTTTTTTGTGTTGACAGAAATATGAATTTATGAATCAGTTTTCTTGGTGTGCAACTATGTTAAGAAATTTCCTTTAAGATGAATAAGAAAATATTTGTACTTTCAAGTTTTCATTAATTATTCTGACATTGTAATTAAAATATAGTTATTGAAATTAATAGTCATTAGAATAATGACAATGGCTTTTAAATTTTCTCTGAAAAACACAACTTGGGATAAACCAATATACTAAAGTCCTGAAGACATGAAGCTGCACGGATCTGTCCTGATCTAACCACTGACATGCTCTGTACTCTCCGTGTTCTGCTTTGCATGTAAAAAGTGTGTAAGGTTAGGCACTTAACATATCGGTCCTCCACTGAAAAGAGAATGTAAATACAATTTTTCTTTTTCTGTGTGTTTCCTGGAGTCTGCTGTTTTGTGCATGAGTCACTCATGTAGAACAGGATTCAGACTGTTTTACAATGAATACTGAAATACTGAGGATCAAGAAACACACCTTCTGGCATAGTCATTCTGGTTTGCAACAGAAGCTTGTTCTGGATCCATCCCCACAAGGCGTGTTGGAAAACTGCAGCCATCACCCAAGCTGTATGAAGAGAAACAGTAATTATCTCAGTACTAATTTAATAACAGTCAACTGTAACATTCTTTTTCCTTTTAGATTTATGTATTATGTATACAGTGCTCTATCTGCATGTATGAATACACACCAGAAGAGGGCACCAGATCCCATTACAGATGGTTGTGAGCTGCCATGTGGGTGCTGGGAATTGAACTCAGGACCTCTGGAAAAACAGTCAGTCCTCTTAAGTGCTGAGTCATCTCTCCAGCCCCCAAGAAAATTCTTTTTTAAAGTATAACAAGCCCCAGACATCCGCTAGAGCCTAAGGATGAGGAGAATATAAGCAAAGCAGTCTCACTGAATCAAGGCAACAGAGAAGGAGGAAACTTTGGGAAGCTGAGATGTCTTGAACCTAAAAGGCAGAGGAGAAATGTCTATAGAGATATGCACAGGCTGAGCTGGGACGTGGTGGCAGTATATGTGTTTAATCCCAGCGCCAGGAGAAAGAGGAGGTGAGGTGGGGAGAGGGGGAAGAAAGAGGAGACAGAGAGAGAGAGAGAGATACACAGGCCAGACTCGTCTATCTACAAAGCTAGTTCTAGGACAGCTAGGGTTGTCACACACAAAAAAAAACCCTGTCTCGAAAAAGACAGACAGACACAGACACACAGACACACAGACACACAGACACACAGACACACACACACACACACACACACAGTGTATGTACACATAGAAATTGTAAAAATTAATAGTGGGGTGTGGGTGTCACCAAATCCACAATTCACCAAGAATGAATAGAGTAAGAGTGATGACAGACACTCCTTTAACAAAACAAAACAAAACAAAACAAAACACAGGCCGGGCGTTGGTGGTGCACGCCTTTAATCCCAGCACTCAGAGGCAGAGGCAGATGGATCTCTGTGAGTTCGAGGCCAGCCTGGTCTCCAGAGGGAGTGCCAGGATAGGCTCCAAAGCTACACAGAGAAACGCCGTCTCGAAAAATAAAAATAAAAAAAATAAAAAAATAAAAAAACAAAAAAACAAAACACAAATCAGAGAGGAGATGGCTCAGTAGTTAAGAGCACTTTTTCAGGAGCTGGATTTGGTTCCCAGCACCCACACGGCAGCCCACATCATCTGTAACACCAGTTCTAGAGGATCTGGCACCTTTTTCTAACCTCCTCAGATACCATGTGTGTACACAACACACACACACACACACACACACACACAAAGCAGGAGCTATCTGACAACAGTGTCATGGATTCACTGATCAGACAAAATAACCTTATAATCAGATAGTGTGCATTTCATTCTTTTGTAGTACTAGACTTAGCTTTAAAGAAAGTATGACTCTTCATCCAACCTTATAAGACTTAAACAAAAAGACTGTGAAGCCTAAACCAACTACACACAAAAAATCAATACTGAATATACAGCATCAGGGTTTACAGGAAATGAAACACACATAGACAACAGTAAACTATGACAGAGCTATGGGAAGCAAGGGCCCCATGCAGGAACAGGAGCCGTCCCCACAGGGGAGGACACAGAAGAAATAATGCTTAGCAGTTCCCTAGCTGATGAGAAGACACAGACAGACTTAGCTAGCTGGGTGTGCTGGTGCACATCTGGGAGACAGAAGTTCAGGAGTTCAAGGCCAGTTTGGGATATATAAGACCTTGCCTCAAGAAACAACACAAATGAAAAGAAAAACCAACAATAAAAAACCCTAATCCTAAAGTAATCCTAAACAAAAGAAACCTGAAAAAAGCCACACTAAATTTTATCACAATAAAATTTTGTGAAAGGAGTAAATAACACTCTTAAAATCTGCAGTCAAAAAAATAAGGTGACTATACTCTTGCCAGCAGAAGATAAGGTAAGCTAGGAGACAGTGAAGCAAAAATAAATAAAAAACAAAACTAGGTGGGGTGGTGGCACACGCCTTGAATACCAGTACTCAGGAGGCAGAGGCAGGCGGATCTCTGTGAGTTAGAGGTCAGCCTGGTCTACAAAGTGAATTCAAAGACAAGCCATGGCTGTTACACAGGTCTTGAAAAACCAAAACAAAAAACCAAAAATAAATAAATTAAATAAAAAAATGAAGGAAAGCAAGCCATTTTGGACAGAAAAGGGCAATTTAATTAAGGAAAAGGCCCTACAGTTACCCTAGCCCCCTTTTGAGGCAGGGTCTGACTATATGACTATATAAGCCAAACTAACTTCAAAAACTCATGATGATCCTCCTGCCTCAGCTCTCTGAACCTGGGATTCTAGTGTGAGCCTCCACCCAGCATACCTACAGGTCTTACAAACTTGGGGATACACTTCCAAATTGCTTTCCTTCTCTGTAGTGACTGACGTACAGACGGCCCAGACGAGCGGGGATTAGGGAGAAATGGGTTTGAATCATCTAGCATGTGCATTATTTACACCTGAGATAAAACCACATTAGCATTCAGTCTTCTTTCAGAAAATAAAGGTAAGCTGGATGTGGCACAAACCTTTAGTGCCAGGCCTCTGGAGGAGAGAGAGATGGACCTCTTCCAGTTCTAGGCCACCCAGGGCTACACAGTGAGACTCTGTCTTTAAAAAAAGAAAAAAGAAAAGAGGGAGAGAGAAGAGGGGTACACACATACAACTCTTGTGTGTTATAATATATGAAAATACTTTTTATGTTCCTGAAAGTGATTTATTTTCATTTTGAAGAGCTCTTTGAGTCATTTTTATTTTTCTACTTCCCATTCAAATGTGTGCTCTTACTGCATAGCTACTCTGAATCTGAATATTCAGCCAGAAGCAGAGGCTACCAGTGAGCCCTACATTCTGTAACTTACCTTGAAAATACTGGAACTAGCCAGTATTTCTTTTCATCACCAAAGACTTGTCTCCAATTTTTACTACATCCAAGAGAAAAACCATTTCCATCTATTCCATAAGAAAACATAGGTGCACGGAAAGACTCTGTTTAAAAAAAGGAAACACAAGCATGTACACACATGAATAAATCTTATCTATTCAAAAATTATAAAGGGAATTATAACAAAAGGTAACAAGGAATGACAATCATCTGAGGTGACAGATGTCCCAATTACCCTGATTTGACTTACATTATAAGCATGTACTGAAGTGTCACCTCAGCATAGACACAATTATTATGTCAACTAAACTCTACTTTTTTTTTTTTTTTTTGATTTTTTTGAGACAGGGTTTCCTCTGTGTAGCTTTGGAGCCTATCCTGGCACTCGCTCTGGAGACCAGGCTGGCCTTGAACTCATAGAGATCCCCCTGCCTCTGCCTTCTGAGTGCTGGGATTAAAGGCGTGCGCCACCAATGCCCTGCTAAACTCTACTTTTAAAAAGACAAAATTTCTAACTTATTTGGAGAACGTATATTTTTATTTCAACCCTCTAAAATGATAGGCCCAAATAGTTACCTAATATTATATTATATTATATTATATTTATTTATTTATTTATTTATTTATTTTGAGGTAGTGTTTCTCCATGTATCTTTGGCTGTCCTAGAACTATGTAGACTAGGCTGGGCTTGAACTCACAGACATACACCTGCCTCTGCCTCCCAGGTGTAGACTGCCATGCCCAGCCATATATACTGCTTTTTAAAAAACAACTGTTTTGGTCATTATACTTTGACTCAGCCCATTTCTGTGGTACTAGAAATTGAACCGTTGAGCATGCTATCAAGCATTCTCCCGCTGCGCTAAGTCCCCGGCCTTCAATGAAAACATTCTACTCCATTTGATTTATTGTAATTCAATTTGTTTTTAAGGTACTAGAACTTGTTCATTCTTTCTTGATGAACTTCCTATATATTTCTAACAACATAGGTACTGGGACCCAAACAAAAAATTAGAATTTCTACAAATCTACAGTCTAGCAAAACCTACGTGTGTTAAGTCCTAAAAGTCCTGTGCTTCGTGAGTACAGAAGTAAGGACAGCTAATTTTGTAGGACAGACTGTGTGTCTTGGGGGGTTAAGGGAGATTAGAAGATGGCAGGAGTGGCGTTCAACATGCTTGAGTAATGAGGCAGCAGAGGGAGATTATAGACCACAGCTTCAAGCTTCAGTGTAAAGTGATACCGAGTGAGGTCCAGGCAAAAACAGGTATTACAAAAAGAGTTGTACATCATTGTTTTTAAAAACAAAGCACTCCAGTATCTTACAGGCTGAAAGGTGATGGGCCAGACTGACTGTAGCACGAATTCTAATTGTCATTAATAATAAAAACTCAGAGTCAGAAGCTGAAAACCAGAGAAGCAAAATGGCCAGTCATTAGAGGGTTCTCACCTCTCCCAGTACTCAGACTGAAGGGGCCATCCACCAAACCTCAGACTGCACTGCTCTCCATCAAACCAAGACTCCCAGACTGCAATGCTCAGAATTCACTCAAGACTGCAAATGAGCTCCTGTCTCCTCACACCTTATATTCCTCTCTAGTGCTGGGGTTTAAGGTGTATACCACCACTGCCTGGCCTCTATGGCACTCTGATCCTCAGGCAAGCTTTATTTGTTAGATCATAAGCAATGAACCACAACTGACAGCACAAGAAAGCAAATAAAAACTAAGGCAGCCGAGAGCAAAAGAGAATCTCAACAAGAGTTCTAAGGTAAATACTGCAGAGCAAAATTACATCCTTCCTCAGAAACTGGAGGAAGGCCAACACTGACAGGTGGGAGAGGAGCTGTGTATGGAAGGCTAGAAAGGGAGAAGATAGGAGCTTGCCTGTGGCTTTTAAGTATTTTCCTCAGAAGCACTCAGAAATCTGAAGAACAGAAAGGCAACAATCAGGGCTGGGTAAGGCCAACCTAGTCTACAAAGTGAGTTCCAGGACAGCCAGGGGCTACAAACTAATCTGCCTGTCTCAAAATACCAACCCTTGTCTCCCCCTCAAAAGATCTAGATTAATAAGAAAAGCAGCTGGGGAGACTGACTGATCTTACCACCACCATTTCCACCCTTAGTGAGGTATGGGATTGTCTTATCCTTTTGTTTCTGACGTAGTCTTGGGTTAGACTTGAACTCACTGTGTAGAAGAGACTAGTGGTAAATCACAGAGATCTACCTCTGCCTTAGTGATAGGATTAAAGGTGTGTCCCACATCAACTGGCTGGGGTCTAGGATCTTCAGTCAGAAGTGTGACACTCTAAGGGAGTTATGATTTCCTCCAGATGTCAGCAGATTGCAAGACACAGCACCAAGTGGACAGCTGAGTATTCCAGCCCAAGGATTAGTAAAGGCATCTTGGGAAGAAACCTAGGCACAAGAGGTGAGAGCACTACAAAGGAAGAGTTGAAACCATTGGTTAGTGCCTCTAGAATGGACTAGTGTGTGCAGTCAAAGCAGAAGAGAAACCCTGCAAGGAAGGCTGGTGTGTTGGGGACTATTATTTTAAGGTGTGTTACTTTTGTTTATATTTGCATTTGTTTTCTCTGTGAAGCTGTGTTACTGTGCCTGTCTAAAACACCCGATGGTCTAATAAAGAGCTGAATGGCCAAGGCAGGAGAGAGGAAAAGGTGGGACTGGCAGGCAGGGAGGAGAAATCTGGGAGGATGAAGATCTGGGAATGAGAGAGGAAGGAGGAGGACTTCAGGGTCCAACCACTCAGCTACACACAGAATAAGAAGGAAAAGAAAGGTATACAGGAATAGAGAAATTAAAAGCCCTGAGGCCAAAGATAGATGGGATAATTTAAGAAAAGCTGTCAAGAAACAAGCCAAGCTAAGGCTGAACATTCATAACTAAGAATAAGCCTCCATGTGTGATTTATTTGGAGTTGGGTATACCCCCCCAAAAAGTCAAAAGACCAAAAAGCCTAAAAAGAACAAATATATCACACAACATTCTGGCACCCACGTTGGGAACCAACTGCTGTGCTCTTTTTTAATTGTTGCTGCTTTTTAAGCCACAGCTGTCCAAATCAGCAACTGCAACTCCGCAGCTATCAGTCTATTCCCTCGGGCACCGACTCTTTCAAAGCTACAAAGGAACGTATCTAAGTCTCTGTCCTTCTCAGAACCCAGGATTCAATGGCTGAGCTGGAACCATGCTTCACAGAGAGGCTGGGTAGCAAGTAGCTCACCTCCTTTCTTTGTGTCTCCCCAGAAGTCCTCGTGCTTCTCCTCGCCCCTCATTAAAAACATTTCTCCACCTGGCTCCTCCCTACCACTTCCTGTCAGCTAGTTACTGACTCAACCTCCTGACCACAGCTGAACTTTACTTAACGAAATACATCTTTGTATCATTAAACAAATGTCCTAGAGCATAAATAAAAGTAACACACCTTAAAATACTATTCTGCAACCCTGTTGGGTAATAGGACTCTGAGACAGGAGTGCAGTGGAGCATGGAAAGGGAGATGGAAAGACCGGGGAAAGAACAGAATACAAAGTTTAAAACACACCACTCAAAGGTTGGGAGAAAATTCTGTCATCCCCTGCCACCCTTCCCTGAGACAGAGTCTCCCTATGTAGCCCTGGCTGGCCTACAACACACTATGTAGACCAGTGTAGCCTTGAACTCACAGAGATCTGGAGTCTGTGTGAGTGCTGGGACTGAAGGTGTGCACCACCACTGCCGGCTCTAGAATCTGGGACCAGCCTAGATTATATAAAAACCCTGTCAGAGACATTAAAATTTCATTTTGAGAGGCCTTTTAGTTTCACGTGATTAAAGGCTCCAGGTGTGATTGTGGGACATGGACAAACGTCCCTACTTAAGATAATGGCTTTAGCTGGGACACTGGAACTCAGAGAGATCTGGGCAGATGAGTTAGGAAGACAAGCAAAGGTGGCACAGCAGAATAAAGTGCCCTCACAGTAAACAACAAGGTGGCAGGAGCAGCAGAGAACTCACCAGAAGCCAGGGTGGAGGTTGAGGCAGTAAAGGAAGAGGTATGGGAAGGCAATGTGTTTTCAAAGCATGGCCACAGAATCATCTAATTGCCTGAACTAGACCATACAAAGTGTCGGACTACATTAGACAGGATTGGAACTAATGGGATTCTCTGAAATCCTGCTTAATTTTTGTAATTTTTTGTAAGATATGTGCACATGATGAATCATGATGTAAAATGGTTTCACTGGTAAAAACGTGGAAAAAATGTTTAAGGATGACAGCAGAGTGCCTAGAAACACGACCTATGGTCTGGATCTGAACTGTGCACAAGGGCTAGTCACTAGCTGATGGCACTACCTGAAGGTGGTGGAGGGTCATAGAGGGAAGGGTAATGTCTTTAAAGACCCAAAGGGGTCCTCTCCCTCACCCCTTTTCCTTCATGGCTGTACCACATGCTCTCTACACTGTACATGGACCCCTATAGCACAGCACAGGAGGTGAACATGTACAGAGACCTCTGAAAACACAATGCAAAATCAAATCCTGCTTCTGCTTCCTTTCCGCTAATCCAGCTGAGGTCCTTTGTTCTCTTACACACAGGGGCTCAGACTCCACGCAGAAGAAACAAGCTATGTGAGAAACAGATTAAAGTGTTCACATCCCATTTAGGACAACTGGCTGCTCCTTAAATCTAGGTGGTCAGTACCAATTGGGAAAATAGACCTACCACTAGCAGAGTTATCAATTTGAAATGAATTAATTTTATTATTTAATATGTATGGGTATTTTGCCTGAATGTATGTATGTACACCACATGTGTACCTATTGCTCAGAGGCTAGAGAAGGCATTGGGTCCCCCAAAACTGAAGTTACAGACAGTTGTGAATTCTGGTTTTCTTTGTAAAATCTGTTTTTTGTAACAGTCTTTAGGGCACGGCTTTGCAAACAGGTCAAGTTGTTGTCAGTTCTCGGGTAAGAGCACTTCTGTAAAGAGAACAAATTATTTAACAGACATAAAAAATTTTATTTATATGGAAAAAATAAAGCATAATGGCCCTGAGGTGCTTAACAGTGGAGCTGGGCACAGAAACAGAAATCCTAATATTGGAAGCTACATAATTCACACAACCAATAATAAATAAGCCCATATAATTCAACTATAGTAACTAAAATGTGCCCTCAAATCTCTTAATTTTTCTACATTAAAAATTGTTTCCTTCCAGCCAGGCGTTGGTGGTGCATGCCTTTAATTCCAGCTTTGGGAGGCAGAGGCAGGTGAATCTCTGTAAGTTTGAGGTCAGCCTAGTCTAGAGTTCCAGGATAGGCTCCAAAGCTACACAGAGAAATACTGTTTCGAAAACCAACAACAACAAATGTTTCCTTCCAATTCTGGCAAACATACAGGCATTGGCTGGCAGGTGAACTTTAGGCTACCAGGTACATATTAGTTAACAGGGTTGTGAGGCTGGCAGGACAGCAGTTCAGTGTGAGCAGGCTCTCCAGCTCTCTTGTTAGGCAGCCCTAAGCTGGCCTCACACTAGTAACCTTGCCTTAGCCTCCTAAGTGCTGGGAGAAGGGGCACAGACCATAATCCCAGTCCTACTACTCTTGAAGAACACCCTTGTTGTGAAATGTTATTTAAAGGTGTGCTATATTTGTTTATGCTGTGGAACATTTGTTTAATGATGCAAAGATGTGTTGCATTCTTTTATGTTGCATTTGTTTAACTCTGTGAAGCCGTGCTACTGTGACTGTCTAAAACATCTGATGGTCTAATGAAGAGCTGAATGGCTAAGAGCCAGGCAGGAGAAAGGATAGGCGGGGCTGGCAGACAGAGAAACTAAAGAGGAGAGACCTGGGAGGAAAAGATGAAGGAGCAAGAAAGGGAGGAGGACATCAAGGGCCAGCCATGGAGTAAGAAATAAAGATATATAGAAATAGAAAAAGGCAAAAGCCGAGAGGCAAAAGATAGATGGATAACTTAAGAAAAGCTGACTAGAAACAAGCCAAGCTAAGGCCAGGCATTCATAAGCAAGAAAAAGTCTCCGTGTGTGTGATTTTAGAGAGTTAGGCGGTGTGTCTCCCCCCAAAAGCAAACAAGAGTAGAAACAACTAGTGACACACCTTACTCAATTATTCCTCTATTGCTTTTGTTTTTATGTATATTTCTTTTTGCATGTATCTACTTATTCAGTGTCTATATATACAGACTGTCAAGAGGTCAGAGGACGATTTGTGGGAGTTGGTTTCTCTCTTCTATCATGTAGGTTCAGGAGAGCTGAGCTCAGACCGTCAGGCTTGGCAGCAAGTCCCTTACTTACCAATCACGCCATCCCTCCAGCCTTGTGTTTTCATTTTAAACATCAGAGAAAAAGGAAAATAAAAAAAGCTGGTAACAACTATACTTTGCATTAAATTTCACTGACAAACTACACAAAAAATGGCAATAAAAAGACATCAAAAGCACTAGCCTGTCATTGTGCATTGGGGTAGGGGGTGTCAAGAATACACGAAGTATGCTCTGTCCTAGCAAGAACATAGACTGAAGGGTTTAAAATGGTTTGGGTTTGAGCATCAACTTTAAGCATGAAAATACCATTCAGAGACTAGCTTTCAAAAGATAGTGTATAAACACGGGTAATGGCTTTTAAGTTTATAAAATCATCCTACATATATAGTCATTTATGCAATCATCCTCAACATGAGTCTAGGTATCTTATACAATGACTGTACCTGAAACTATGAAGTTAAATACATAATTACTTTTCATTTCTTTATTGCCTACTAAAGGCCACAGTCATTTGTGGTCATTTCTAAAAAAGACTTATACTTTAGTTTATTTACCTATTGTTGTTCTGTTTTTTCCAACTAGCCAGCAATGGTAGCTAAATAGTGAGAGCACACTGACGAAGAACATTGCAGACACAAAGAAAAGGAAAAGTACGTGGAATTTGGCACGTGACTCTCTCAGTTCATTCTGAGGAAAGAAGAAAGAGGGGTTAATTGTGAGGATACTGAACGTCTAAAATGCAACTTGTAATCTGGTTCTTCCTAAAGATTGAATTCACACACAAAAAAAGTCATACATGAAGAGAAGTGAAATAAATGAAACCATGTATTCTGAAGGCACAATCTCATAGCAGGCTGAAACCATCAACAGTCCCAAGTCATTTAAAAATCATCCTTAGAAGCTGGAGCGATGGCTCAGGGTTTAAGAGCACTGACTGATCCTCCCAGCACCTACAAGGTGGCTTACCACTGTCTATGACTCCAGTCCTAGGGGACCCAATACCCTCTTCTGACCTGTGGGCACCAAGCATGCTTGTGGTGCACAGATATAAATGGCACACACCCATCCATGCACAAAAGAGAACAATATAATACAAACATTTTAAAACGTTTTTCTTAAACTTCTAACAAGTCAGCCATAAAAATGAAAAGACCGACTGTTCTCTCTAGCCAATTTTCTTTCACACCTTATGCATATATTTAGATTTTCCTCAACATCCAGAGGAACAAGGGTACTTCCATTTGTATAAAAACAGCTGTTTAATTACATATGCTCTAAAAACAAGTGGAATGTGATATATTTCACTTTTACTTCTGTGCATGTCTCCTCCAAGGTGTCCAGGTCCCTAGATGCTCTGATGCCCACCTCCTCATCCTTGTTTCTTTTCCTTGTGAGTCTTTGTAGGTAATTGCCATTTGAAGTAAGTTGCCATAACGTATTAAAGAATGAATAGTTTCTGTTATTCCTTCGTACAGAAATATGGCTATTAATAGGAAGAAACCTTTAAATATTTGCTCTTAAAATAAAACCTTGAAGGGGCTGGAGATGTAGTTCAGTCAGAAGAATGCTTGCTTGGTAAGCATAAAGTCCTAGGTTCAGTCCCTAGCATAACAAATAACCTTGCATGGTAGTGCATGCCTTAATTTCAGGACTCAAGAAATGCAGGCAGGAGGATCAGAAGTTCAAGGTCATCTTGAGACACATGAGACTGTCTCAAAAACTATATTAGTAAGTCTCCTGGTTTTTCAGAACAGGTTGTCCTATTTAATTTAAAAAATGTTTAACAGGCTGGGCACGGTGGCATGCACCTTCAATCCCAGCACCTGGGAGGCAGAGGCAGGATGATGAGTTTGAGGAAGCTAGGTCTTTATAGCAAATTCCAGTATAGCCAGGATTACACAGAAAGATCCTGTCTCAAAGGGACTCCCCCTCTCCCAAATACAACAGACTGGAGAGATGGCTCCTTGTTTAAGAACACCACCTCAGGTGGCTCACACTACTCCAGCTCAAGGGGATATGATGCCGCCTCTGGCCTCTTTGTGAACACGATTGTGCATGCACACGCACACACATTTTTTTTTTTTTTAAAGTTTCTAACCAAAGGGCCAGCAAGATGGCTCAGAGGGTAAAAAGTGGTTGTTGCTCAAGCCCAACAACCTGAGTTTAATTCCTAGAACCCAGAGTAGAAGAGAACTGACTTCCAAAGTTAACCTCTCACCTCCACACATGTGCCCTCATGCATGTGTGCACATGCTTCAGACATACAACTATGAATTTTTAAAATTTAAATTTGGCAGTATTTAGAAGACAGCTCAGTGGGTAGAGGTATTTGCTTTGGAAGCCCAAAGACCTGAGTTGAAATCTCCAGCCATCACATACACAGTGGGAATGGCTGCACATGCCTGTAAGATGTGGAGACAGGCAGAGCAGGAAAGCTTGCTGGCAAGTGAGAGGCCCTGACTTAAGTAAGGCACTAAGGTCAAGTGGCCTCCGACATTCGTGAACACCCACATTCATATGCACACATATAATCTTCCACACTACACACAGGTTTTGACAGACTAACTGAAAGATGGCTAGCGTGTGTGTGTGTGAGAGAGAGAGAGAGAGAGAGAGAGAGAGAGAGAGAGTGTGTGTGTGTGTGTGTGTGTGTGTGTGTGTGTGTGTGTGTGTTGTGTTCTGGAGATTGAATCTAGTGACTAAAAAACTTTACCGCTGAACATTTTCCCACTAGCCCTGCACTATTCTGGTATTTATTTTTTTCTCAGAGTAACCTCTATACTTTTAAAACACAGTGACTATCTATCTTGCCAACTTGTAAAGCAAACTTTAATTATAAACATTCACTCTATAAAGAGATTATGAGAATGTCATGGCAATGGTATGTTTTACCTTTGGGCAATTCTCTGTAGATTTCCTGCGGCAAAGCTTGTGCAAACAGAGACAATGCATTAAGAAAACAACTTTTATACAAAGTTATCCTGAAAACTAGGCTTTATCAGTTATGTGCATTTGGAAGGAATACAAGAAGTTGCCCTCTAATGGTCTACATTTTTCCAAAAAGTAAATCCCCCCCTCCCAAACAGTTAAAATCATTTATCTCTTCAAGCACATCTCAGAGACCCTTTAAACATGCACTTTCCCAACCAACTATATACAAGGAACTTGTGTCTTAAAGAACAAAACAAAATGTTTTAGCATGAACATCTGTAACTCTTTAACCTTCAGGTTGGTTAGTAGTTCCGGAAATGAGACCTGATGACTCAGCAGCTCACTGCTACTGCCTGTTTTGTATGAAAGAACAATGGCAGCCTCTGATATGGCAGCTGTGCTGACTGCCTGTTGGGTTACAGCTCAGCAATCACAATCTTTTACAAGTAACATCATGTCACCCTTTTGTTCCCATTTTACTGAAGACAGGCAGGCAGGCAGACAGACACAGACACCTTCTAACACTAAAGATTGCTTCCCCTATGTATCTGTTCTTAGTCTAATCTAGCCATAAAAAGTTCCCATGGATCCGGATGACGGTGGTATACACCTTCAATCTCAGTGAGGCAGACAGGTGGATTTCTGAGTTTGAGGCCAGCCTGGTCTACAAAGTGAGTTCCAGAACAGCTAGGGATACACAGAGAAAAAGTTCCCTAGGTATAGCTCAACAGATTCCTCTGGCTTAAATGCTCTTCCCTCAGACACCAATCAAGTCCTCTGTCTTGGTTCAGGTTTTCTACTCATAGTGAGGCCCACCTTGTCCACTCACTTTAATATGCAACCTACGCCATCTCACCCATTGCAGATATGTGAAGGTCAATCAGCTGCTTCACCCTGGGGTCCACTTTGCAACTCCTACCAACTGAGGGTGCAGCCCTGCCTACAGATGAGGCCTGTCTTTCTAAAGACATCTCAAACAAAGATGTTTAAAGCCATGCATACTTAGGACACAATGTCTGTGACCTTGAATTTAACCACTCTCCTTGTCAGCCCTAAGTGTAAAAATATACACCTCAAAAAACAATTTAAATTTTCAGTTTGGTTTTAGAGACAGGGTCTTATTGTGTAGCCCCAGCTAGAACTTGCTATGAAGACCAGGCTGCCTCAAACTCATAAAAGCATACTCTTTAAAATAAGAGGCATAACTAAGTTAGCTCAGTTTTGTTTTGTTTTACTAATTAAACTCTACCTACTTTGTTTCATCTGGTTTTTTGTTTTTTAATTAATTAATTAATTAACTAATTAATTTTTTGGTTTTCCAAGACAGGGTTTCTCTGTATTGCTTTGGAGGATTGTCCTGGAACTGTTCTATAGACCAGGCTGGCCTTGAACTCACAGAGATCCACCTGTCTCTGCCTCCCAAGTGCTGGGATTAAAGGTGTGCGCCACTACACCTGGCAATTTTGCTCCATCTTTAAATCTTGTAGATTATATATTTCAAACAATGTAACTTACCCACAATATCTACCTGTGACTCTGGAGAAATCCACACCCATGCCTTGAGTGTATAGCCGCCCTTTCCCTGAACATCATCTCAACACCAGCACGTTAACTCTAGCTCAGTGGTTCTCAACCTTCCTAACACCGAGACCCTTTATTACAGTTCTCTTGTTGTGGTGGCCCCTAACTATAAAATTATTTTCATTGCTACTTCATAACTCTAATTTTGCTATTGTTATGAACTGCATGTAATGTAACTATCTGATGTGACCCCTGTGAAAGGGATCATGACCCACAGGCTGAGAACCACTGCTCTGAAGCATGTACCATATCTTGCCTCAATAAACTCGCTAACTCTGACTTGTCCTAGCCTGTTTCTGTGGAAATCCATAAGTAGGCACCACCTCAGGACAGTGGACAGTGCTGGACTGTATCTCCCTGATGCTACTGAGGGACCAGGGCCCTTAGCTCACACTATCACTGAGCAGAAACTTCAGTTTTTTGTTTGTTTTATGAGATTAGGTCTCACTATGTAGCTCCATCCGTCCTGGAATTCACTCTGTAGACCAGCTAGGCTGGCTCTGAACTCACAGAAATCATATGCCTCTGTTTCCTGAGTGATGGGATTAAAGGCATGAGTTATACACCCAGCATTAAGGATTTTATTTTACACAAGTAGGTTTTTGTGTGCACATATACATGACTATAAATGGTTATGAACCAGAATGTAGATATTGGGAATTGAACATGAGTCTTCTGCAAGGGCACTAAGTGTTCTAAACCATCATCTCTCCAGACCCCCAAATTACAATGCTTCAGTAAAATAATCTCTCTAAAATACATAAGATATTTCCTGGAAATAACTGTGCTCTGTGACTTGGCTCTTGTTGTACGCAGCTTTTAATTGACAAGTGACCATGGAAAGTATCTGGACACTGGGATAGACAGATCTGACAGAACTAGTTTTCTATACTATGAAATACATGACCTTGGGTAGCTAACTTCTCCAATCTGATAACTGCAGTCACAACAACCTCTGTACAAAACCATGGTTCCTTATCTTCCTGTGTACACACACTGGGATGTCCGGGCTTCACTGACTTGGGGAGATAATGCCCCTCCCAAGTTGCCAGTACTTTGAAAAGCACTCACCACTAGGAGGGCAACTTTCATATGCTAACCAATCTAGAGTCCAAACTCCAAATCTGAGTCTGTTGCCACCCCCAGCAGGAGGCAGCATTACTATAGTTTAGTCATCCCAGAATCCACTGAGATTATTCAAACTGGCTAAAGTAGTTCATCCTGTTTTAGACACCAGCAGCTCTTGCCCTCACTGAACCTTGGTTAGGCTGTGTCTGTTCTCTCTGGGGTCTCTGAGTAAACATCTTCTCAGTCACAATGGACTCTAGCTCTGGGGCCTCACCAGACCTGGATAACAAAACACACATTTTAAACATTTTTTCCAGGTGTTAAAAAGAGTAAATGTAGACATATTTTTATAACACAATTATCTCCTCTTCCAAATCACAATTTAACAGTGGAAATGAAAACAGTAACAGTGTCAGAATAAAATGGGTGACCATTGTACAATCTTATACCAGACAGCAGCCAGAAACATGATTAAAAAAGGGCTGGTTAAAAAACAGAAAACTTTGACAAAAACAAAACAAAATCTGTTTAGAAGATACAAACTGAAATGTGATGGAAACTCTACATACAGTCAGAGTCAAGGAAAGAAGAGTCAGCGCCCTCAAGACAAGCATGATAGGCCATGAGCACTGGACTGCCTTCTGACTTGGGAACTTTGCTATCCTGCATGGTCGAGGCTGGGCTCTACAGCCAGGATCCAGACAAATCTATCTCAACCAACAGAGTACTTACTGGGCTACAGGTGCCCAGTGGCTCCTGGTAAGAGAAACTGTCAATTTTAGTGCTGCCTAAATTATGAACTGGTGATTTCTGTATTTTATTGAAGAAAGGCTCATCGATACCAAGGTCATGAATAAAGATTAGTATCTTTCTTATGGAAACAAAAACCTATCAGAGAAAGTGGACAAGGAACAAACTAGGGTGCTCATAAAAAGACAAGGCAGTGACTAGTAAACAGTCTCACACATGCAGAGTAAAGTTAGGTACTGTGTTCATAAGTCAGTGGGCAGTGTACATCAGAAAGGAATCAGAGACAAAGATGGTTACAGTAGGAATGGTTTGAGACATACAATGAGAAAAACAAAACCAAAGACATCTCAAAAGGCTCAGGCAAGAGGACTGCCACGAGCCTAGGCTACAAAGTGAGTTCTAGACTGGACTGGTTAAGACCCGGTCTCACACACACATGAACAGACAGATAGACATCTACTGCATGCTTTTTATATACCACGTTTACATTATTCTGTGCAGTAAGTATGACTCCAATTTCACAAGCAAAAGTGCAATCTAAGCTAACATCACTTTGGCTATTTTACCATTAAGCAAACATTTACTGAACATTTACTGTATTGTGGGCCAGGTAATATCCTAGATTCTCTACTGATGGAAAAGATACAATTTTTCGCCTTCATGGAGTTTAATTTATAGCAAATATATAAGCAAAGCCCATGCCCTTTCCTTGGGATCCATTCGATTCTAGATCTAGGTACTTATTAGAGAACAAACAGGAGCTCAGAGATGACATCACTATTCTAGCATGGCAACCAATGGACCGGTGCAGCTTTTGTTCCCATTATAGCAGATAAGCATGGAGAAAAACAATGGAAAGAGAATAGGAAGAAGATTTGAAATATGCCCATTTTTATGATGGCTTGATTATGTCTGATGGCTCAGTAATAATTATCAATTGAAGATTGGGTATTGGGTTCAGCAGTATGACAGTCAAGACTGAACCTACTACATTTAATGGGGCTGATGTGATGACACTGGGGGGAAAGAAATAGAGATGAAGAATATCCAGATATTTAAAGATTTTAGTGGAAGGGTAGTTTTAATATATTTTAAAGTTATTTCTAAATTATATCAATAGAAAAAGTACATATAAAAATCAAACACTGTGAAAATGTTATAATGAAAAGCAGCATTCTCCACACCACTTCTAAGATGGAGTTCTTTCCATGTTTTTGGTAGTTATTTTCCCCTCAAGTATACATACTTGGTTTCAACTTGATTATGTATTTTGAATAGATAGATGAGCATTTGTATATAGTAACCAATATAGTATATAGTGCCAGCAAATCTCTTAACATTTCCAGAGAAGCCAGGACACACTAGTAGGTTCCTATTCCCCTTAGACACTCCCACATGCTACACCAGAGACCACTTCCCAGTCATTCGTCACACCGGGATGCCTGTTTCATACCATTTCCTCTCAGATAAATCACACTTTAGTCCCTTGTTGATAAAACATTTGATTATTTTTTAACTATTTGCTGTTTTTTTAAAAGTTGGAGAAGAGAGCTGGAGAGACAGCTCAGCTGTTAGAAGCACTGGCTGCTCTTGCAGAGGACTCAGGTTCAATTCCCAGCACATACATGTCATGTTGGCTCACAATCTTCTATAACTCTAGTTCCAGGGGATCTGACACCCTCTTCTGGTCTTTGTAGGAACCAGGCATTCATACAGTGCACAGACATATCTGGCAAAACATTCACATTCCTAAAATAAAAATAAATCTTTTTTTTTTTTTAATTCTGAAAAAAGTGTATGCAGACAGGAAGCAAGTGTTTGTCTGGGCTGAGGACGTCACTTTGAATACAAACACAGCAAGTCTCATCAAGGCAAGTGGAAAGAGGCACTGACTTCTCTAAAGCAGCTCTCCCTACAGTCTGCACCAGTTACTTAGCCTGTGTATTAGACACTTACTTGCAGGTAAAGTATAGTCCTGTCTGAGCCATTATAGAGGCTAATCAGATCTACTTATAAAAAGCATAAAGAAACCCTTTTCAAATACACATCTTTAAACATCTTTTATATATGTTTAAGAGAGAAAAAAGACTTACCGTCCAAAATTTTATGAAATACTCTAAAACTGTTGCAGCCACAAAAAGGCAATATAGTAGGGAATACAACAAAAACAGCATGAAGAATTTGTAATTAGTAAATCCGACACAGTTATTCACCCTAGAAGAATACAGAAAGTAACATTATAAAATAAGACAAATCACAAATATACAGAAAGCAAAATAGGGTCTCAAGGCTGGTGGGAGAGGGGTATAGGGAGTGTTTCATGAAACAGCTCAGTTCTGTAAGATGTGAAAATCCTGGTGCTTGTACCAAAATGGGAATACACCTAATATTACTGAGTTTACAGAGATGGTTAAGATAGCAAATTAATGTATGCCTTGTAGTCATAGGGGGGAAAAGGGATTCAGAGAGCTTATATCATCATTACTTGGAAATAGGTCAAGTGAGAAGTGGAAAACAAACAGTATCTCAACTAATGAATGTTTTAAATTCATGTTATATAGATTTTTGCAATTCTAATGTGGTGATATTTTGTTTATGATCTAACAAATAAAGCTTGCTTGAAGATCAGAGTGCAAAGCTAGTCACACTAGCTAGTCACAGAGGCCAGGCAATAGTGGCAGTCGCCTTTAATCTCAGCAACCACACTAGTTTGCCACAGAGACCAGGTAGTGGTGGCACTCACCTTTAATCCAGCACTTGGGAGACAGAGGCAGTCGGATCTTTGTTAGTTCAAGGCCACCCTAAGCTACAGGAAATTAACCCAGTCTAAAAGAGAAACAGCTCAAACGAAGGTGATCTCAGCACTTGGGATCCCATTCCTTTAATCCCAGCACTAGGGAGGAATACAAAGCAGGAGGAGACAGCAGCTCATTGTAGAGTCTGAGGAGCAGTGCAGTCGGGAGCAGTCTGAGGTTCAGTGGATCGCTCCTTCCGTCTGAGCATTGGTTGAAGTGAGAAAACTCTAGTGGCTGGCCGCTTTGCTTCTCTGATCTTCAGCTTTAACCTCAATATTTGTGTCTGGGTTTTTATTATTCCTGTTACATTATAATGTTAATTTTTAACGTCACCTCTGAATTATTTATCAGGAGATATTGTTAAAGGAAAAAATATAAATGTACATATCTCTGTAAGTGTGTGTGTGTGTGTGTGTGTGTGTCCTTCTTCTAATGTCCAACCCTCACCCTCTTCACTTAGGCAATTTCTACTATTTTTCATACATACCATGGACAGTGATGATCCATCTTAAGAACACATCTAGGAAGCAAGCATAAGAAAATTCATACAGAAAATCCTGACTCTAATTTCTCATTATTTTACTCAACTTAAAATATCCCCTTAAAACTAAATCTTCCAAAACCAACTAAGAAACCTCAGGTAACTTCTGCTACTTCCATATGTACCTTCCCAGGTAAATAGTCACTAGTTTTCACTCTGTCAGTTCACCACCTCTAGCACACTGCACCAAATGACATCTTACTATTCAGGTCTGGGAATGATTCTTGGTACATTAGAAGAATCAGTTAGACATCAGCTAAGGAGAGGAATAGATGACCTCTAGTGTAGTGCCTTTCCTATATTCTTTAACATCAAGTTTCCCCATGGTGACCACTACTACACTTTATCATAAGAACACCATAACAAAACCAAACTTTTCTCCCTCTAGAGTACTATTTATACAAGTAAAAAGTGAGATTACAAGCTGGGTGGTAGTGGCGCACGCCTTTAGTCCCAGCACTTGGGAGGCAGAGGCAGGTGGATCTCTCTGAGTTCAAGGCCAGCCTGGACTTGTCTCCAGGACAGGCTCCAAAGCTACACAGAGAAACCCTGTCTCGAAAAACCAAAAAAAAAAAAAAAAAAGTAAGAGTACAGATCTCATAAAGTAAGAATGAGAAACACATCACCCAAAAACTTATATGGCTTATCAGGCCTGGATTAGTCAAGACTTTTAAGCTAACATCTTTCCGTTACCATACTACCTTCTCATATGAAAACAAGGATTAAAATGGACCAAATGGCAACTGAAAACAATTACGGAATTTACTTCAGACATCCATACAAATACTGGGATGAAAGGCATGCACCACCACACCTGGCTAGAAAGCATATTTAAAATTAAAATTCTATTCAACTAGCAGAGAAATGGTTAAAAGACTTCTAGTATATTCTAGTTCATATAAATATTTATGTTAGTTCTATATCCACAACAAGTAATGGGAAAGGATGAAATGTTTTTGCTAAATATGCAGAAGCATATAAAATGTTCCTATGTTGCCAAATTCCAGGGTAGGATTTAAGGAAAACAAACTGAGTAGCACTCACCTGTCACACGCAGAGCAGTGATGAGCCCGATCAGGTTTAATCAACTGACATTTTTCACAGTATCGGATAGCTAGAGAGAAGAAAAAAAAAAAAAAAAATCAAAGGTGTGCAAGCTTAGCCGATTTATAAAGCCTGACTTTTGAAATATACCAAAATGCACCGAGAGCATCTCAAACAAAATGTCACAAGAAAAGGGGCCTCATATGTATCTTCCCAGAATTTTTCAAACTAGATAAAGTAGATCCAAAGTAGGTGACTTGCAGAAGGCCAAACACCAAGACGAACAGCATAACAAGGCCAGAACTCAGGTCCATTGAGTCCCAAACCCAGTGCTTTGCTGATCACAGCACAATGTCTGTAACAGATTACCACAATACTTGAAGGCATTCACCTCTGTCTGCATCCAGCCCTACTCTAGACCAATTCATTTCTGGAACAACAAAAACCTCTTTCCAACTAAAATTCTAATACATGCTATATTATTGCCTAGTTCACATTCAATTGTTCAAGACCCTAATCACCTACTATGTGCCAGTTAATCTAAACAAAAATCCCTACTTTGTGAAGCTTATATACTCTATGTTGTAGGGACTAAGAGAATCAATGAAATAAACAGCACACTAGACAATGACAGTGGACAAAAAGGAGAGGGAGTAGGAGGAGCCTAACAAACAAACATCTGAGAAAACAAGGGGAGTGCAAGGATAAGGGCATAGCTCAGACAGCAGAGTGCTAGCCTGGCTGTCATGCACAAAGCCCTAGGTTTGAAGGGCATCACTGCATGTGCAAGACAGTGGTTCGTGCCTGTAATCTGAGCACCTGGGAGGCCTGAGGCAGGCAGAAGGATCAAGTTCAAGGTCATTACCAACTACACAGAGAGTTTGAGGGCAATCTGGGATGCATGAGACTTGAGAGAAAAACAAACACCCCCCCTCCCATCTTGGAACATTAAGACTCTAGTTAGAAGGAATAGACTCAGTTACAGAAAACTGCTTAGCTCATTTGAACAGCAACAAATACAGGGACTGGAAAGATGGCTCAGTGGTTAAAAACATTTGCTGCTTGCTCTTCCAGAGAGGATCAAGGTTCAGTTCCTAGCACCTATGGCAAGTGACTCACAACCATCTATAACTCCAGCTCCGGACCTCTGGCTCCCTAGTATACATACCTACATGTAGACACACACACACCTACACCTAATTAAAAATAAATCTTTAAAAAATAACAAATAGGAATACTCATTACTGCTACTTTAAATAATAAAATGCCAGGATAATATCCCTTTAAAAATATGTATAAATGTTGTGCCTGAATATATATTTTGTACAATCCATTTGTTCCTGGTGGCCTTGAAGTCCAGAAGAGGCATCAGATACCTAGGAACTAGAATTACAGACAGTTGTGAGCTGCCATGTGGGTGTCAGGAAGTCCTGGGTCCTCTTGAAGAGCAGCCAGTGCTCTTAATTGCTGAGCCATTTTTAATTCCCTAGGAATAACTGTATACTTGAAATGGCTAAATACTTTATGGTGTGTCTGTATAGCGCACTATTATTCAGAACAAGAATTTCCCACACAAAACACATTACGGAAAAGACAGCAAGCTGAAGTTGGAACCACTAACGCTGAGTCTCATACCAAACAGAAACCTAAGGCTACATGTGTAGGAAAGTCAGGATCAGAAAGAAGCCAAGCACCTCTCGTCTCTCTTTCTCTCCATCCTCCCACAACTGGCCCGTGACAGCTGTGCACATTTGCAGGTACAGGGAAGGGATGAAATCAAACAGGCCTTACAAGAACATGGGTTGGAGTCGGGTGTGGTGTTGTGAGAATTTAACTCAGCACTTGGAAGGCAGAGGCAGGTGGATTACTATGAGTTCAAGGCTGGCATGATCTACATATCAAGTTCTAAGACTACATATTGATATCCTGCCTAAAGGAGGGAAAGAGGGAGGAAGGAAGAAAGAAAACTATACTAAACAAAAACAGATAAAGCTAAAGAAATAGTTGCAATCCAAGGAAACTTCAGTTTCTTGTACAGAGCAACCAGAAAAGAACAGTGCTGAAGACAGAAATAGAGCAGAGTGCAGCTGGGGTGTTCCTTCATTTGTTCAATGAATACTTGAGAGTTTCTATGTATGATAAATACTGCCCATTTCTAGAAATAAAGGTGAACACAGCAAACCTGTCTCCTGCTTCTATGGCAATAGACTTTAAATGGAAATCTGTTTTCTGTGAGTCTGAAGGTTCAAATAATAACTCATTCAAGTACAAGTATCCTTTTACAACTGGAACCCTCTGACTGGGTGGACAGATACTGAATTGAAGGCATACGCCTAGATGAATGATGAAGGCTGACTCAGAGTTCCTAGGATGTGCTGGGCAAAATGTCAGATCCCTCTGAGATCACAGGAATGAGGATCCAGGGTACAGCTTTTCCACTGATAAAATGTGCCAGAAATGAAGATATGCCGAAGAGATATTTGGGCCCCCTCTTAGGCTGTCAAACTACTGAAACAATGGATGCCAAGGCACAGGAATTTCTCCAAGGATCTCCTGCAGGAAGAAGGCCAAGGTCCTGGGACAGCCAGAAGAGGAACTTGTCTCCCAGGATTTCTAAGCAGAGGACCTCACAGAGAGATGCAGCTGTAGAGAGGCGCAGTGCCACACCCTGACCAGGACCACTTGGTCTCGTACTTGAACTTTACCCTCAACTTAGGACACCAAAGATGAACTCGGGGAAGTTACCAGATCATCTTGTCGCTCTTCCCTATGTGGACACATGGAATAAACTTCAGGGGGAAAAATTCTGATTTTCATGACTCTTTCATTGAACTGTGTGTATAGCTGCAACTCCACCTAATAACAGGCACACAACACAACACTTGAAAGGTGACTTCATATGGTAAGATCCTTAAATCTGCTCTAAGTTAACAAGAAAACTATTAAACATAATGAATGATTGCAGTATGGTGGTGTCCATTGTCAAGTTCAGCCTGTTTCTCTTACCTCTTGAAGCCGATGTGGTATAGATAGGCAAGTCTCTGGCGGCTCTTCTCAAAATGTCTTGCTGTCTTTCTTGGCTGAACTCCTTCTCATAACGTTCTTTTTCAGAGTTTGACAAGTAGAACTAGATAGAGAAAGACAACTACTGAATCTGTAATTCTCAGCTAGTGTGCTGAGGAAAAGTTTTATCTGAAATACTCTGCTTCATGAAAGGAAAACTTGTTTCCAACCGACCTTTATGTACATTTTAACAAAAACTGCACAGATTAAAATGGTTAGACTAGGCAATGGTGGTGCACACCTTTAATCGCTGCACTCGGGAGGCAGAGATAGATGAGTCTCTGTGAGTTTGAGGCCAGCCTGGTCTACACAGTGAGTTCCAGGACAAACTCCAAAGCTACAGAGAAACCCTGACTAAAAAAAAAAAAGATGCACACTGTCTTAAGGTGAAAGTCTACATAAATTTTCATAAGCCTCACTAACATTTGAACACTTTCAGAAATAAAAATAAAATATTTAGCAGAGAATCTGGCCAGAAATCTGCAATTCCTCTGGGCTGACATCTCAAGCCTGTAATAGAATTCCAGACCTCAGCTTGACTGTACTTTTACCCATCATCACCATTGTTGTGGTGGTTTGAATTAAGAATTCAAATAGGAATGGCCCCATAGACTCATGTGTTTGACTGCCTGGCCCACAGGGAGTGGTACTATTAAGAGGTGTGGCCTTGTTGGAGGAAATGTCATTGTGGAGGAGGGCTTTGAGGGCTCAAATATGCTCAAGCCACGCCCAGTGTGACAGTCTCTCCCTGCTGCCTGCTGATCAAGAGAGGAAAACTCTCAGCTCCTCCAGCACCATGTCTGCTTGCAAGACACCCACTATGATGATAATGGAGTAAACTTCTGAAACTGTAAGCCAGCCCCAATTAAATGTTTTCCTTTATGAGTTGCTGTAGTCATGGTGTCTCTTCACAGCAATGGAAACCCTAAGACAGTTGTAAAACAATGAGAAGCTAAAATCAAATGAAAATTTTCAAATACCAGAGTATCCAACATTCAATACTATAATTCAAATTAAATTACAACATGCCATTATTACCATAAATTCAATGATCAGAAAATTCCACTTAAATATTAGACCAAGAATGGTGAGCATCAGTTAAGCACACACAAAGTCCTGGATTCAATTCCTAGCAGCAAAACAACTAGGAATAAATTGCTTTTAAATCATTATCTTTTTTTTTTTAAGGGACAGTTTTGCTATGTTGCTCAGGGTGATCTCAAACTTCTGAATTCAAGTAATCCTCCCAACTCAGTTCCTGTGTAGCCAGACTACAGGCTCATTCAAGAGCCTAACCATAAACAAGTATTAAAGCAAAACAAACAACAGCAATAACAACAAAACAGTAAGAGCTAGGCACTGGGGCTGAACAGACTGCTGGCTCAGTGATTAAGAACACCTGCTGTTTGCAGAGGGAGTGATTTCAGTTCCCAGCACTGGCATGGTAGCTCACAAGTGTCCTTAACTCTAATTCCAGGGGACTCAGCGCCCCTTTCTGACCTCCACTAGCACCAAACACATGCAGTGCATATTCATACACGCAGGCTGAAAAGTCTATATAAAAATAATGACTCTTTAAATTAAAGTTAGGCACTGTTTCAAATGGCACAGGTTCAAAGATGAATAAAAACTGGGCTGGAGAGATGGCTCAGTGGTTAAAAGCACTGACTTCTTTTCTATAGGACCTGGGTTCAACTCCCAGCACCTATATGGCAGTTCACAACTTTATGTAACTCCAGGATCCATCATCCTCATACAGACAAACATACAGGGAAAATACTAATAAAATAAAAATAATTTTTAAAAAAGATAAATAAAAACAAATATTGCCTTTAAAACAAAGAATTATACAAACCAGTGAAATAGCATTACAGGTGCTATGCAAGTTGCTGATGGAGAAAACAGACCTACCCAGCAGTGTACTCTCTGCATTACAGTATCTACAGGAGAGGTGTGCCCACTGGTGCTGTAACAGCAAGACTGTTACTGAAGTAACCAACTACATTTCTGACAGGATCTGATGGCCACTCCATGGGAGGGAATTCATTCCTGGCAGTCTAAATCTAGATAAATGCCATGGCTAGAGGTGGGTGTAAGGGTGTGGGGAACAGGGGTGGGATGGGGTTGGGGGTAGGGACACATCACTACTCTTACTGTTGTTTGCCAAATGGATGACACAGTGGGTGATCAGCTAAGGCTGATGGAGAGTTGGGAATACTCTGTTCCCTGAACTGGCTTGGATAATGGGTAAGGTATGTACTCAATTTTTGTGAAAATTTTTTGTTTGTTTTTTGAGGCATGATCTCTCTATTAAGTAGCTCAGGCTGTCTTGGAACTTTCTGTGTAGACCAGGCTGGCTTCACACTCAGAGATCCACTTGCCTCTGCCTCCCATGTCTGGGATTAAAGGGTAACCTGACATGCTAACTAGTTTTATGTCAACTTGACACAAGCTAGAGTAATCAGAAAGAAGGGAAACTCAATTAAGAAAATGTCCTGTAAGATCTGGCTGCTGGAGATTTTCTTGATTAGTGAGTGATGGGGCATAGCCTAGCCCATTGTGGGTGGTGCCATCTCTGGGCTGGTGATCCCAGGTTCTATAAAAAAGCAGATGGAGCAAACCAATAAGCAGCCCTCCTCCATGGTTTCTGCATCAGCTCCTGCCTCCACATTCCTGCCCTGTTTGAGTTCCTGTCCTGACTTCCTTCTATGAATACTGATATGGAAGTGCAAGCCAAATCAACCCTTTCCTCCCTGAGTTGCTCTGGTCATGGTGTTTCCTCATAGCAACAGTTTGTGGGAACTACCAAGTTAGGACACTTAGGACTTTTACTTTCTGTATATGGATTGTCTATAGAAGTTTTAAATGAAAGCTGGTATTTTAAACGACATAGTCCATACATACATACATACATACATACATACATACATACATACATACAGGGTTTCTCTGTGTAACAGCTCTAGCTGTCCTGGAACTATCTCTGTAGACCAGGCTGGCCTTGAACTCACAGAGATCCACTTGCCTCTGCCTCCCAAGTGCTGGGATTAAAGGCGTGCACCACTACTGCCTGGCCATGGTCTATACTATAATTTTAACATTCTGAAAAGTTAACATGAAGGAAAGCAATTATATTACTACTATCATCCAATATTTGAATATTAATCCTAAAACAGGAGTATGTTAAAAATTAGAAAATGTCAGTCCTCACATGCATCCCACAGACACAGGCACGATTTTCTGACATGAAAAGCGAAGCTCAGAAATTAATGTGTTGAAGAGAAAGAAAGAAAATCAAACTCAAATCATCTTAACTCTGTGCATATGTGGTATGTGTGCATGTGTTGGTGTGGTGTGGTGTGTGTGTGTGTACATGCTGTGTGCTTGTTTTGAGGACAGGGTCTCACTGTGTCTTCCTGAAGAAAGCTACATTATCAGGAGTGTAACACCACCATGCTCAGCCTAGAGAAGAGGCTTGACCACCTTGCTATACTAAATTTCAGAGAGGAAAGACTTCATCTGTGTCAAGGCAAGAGATGCACACCAGTTATAAGACATAACACACCTAAATATTTACCTGTATTACTCTCCAAGTGCATCCTCCAAGAGGAGAAATGCAGTCACAGCAAGACAACCCTGAATTACTATTTTCCACAGTGGCATGTGTTTTAGATACAGTACATTTGTTCATGCCTGAAAAAATATGGTGGAAGTTTCTAAAAACTTCTGACCCTCAATGTTTTACTCCAGTGTTTAAGAAAACTCAGCACGCCAGAAAAGTGTTAGTATAATTGAACATTTACTATGCTGTCAGTAAATTGTGCTGAGAACAAGCCAATGATTCACATTCACATTACCAAGGAATTTTACAAATGGAAACAGAACAAACGTATCATGCAAGGTTTTAACACAGGTAACACAGGGAACATCATTCCATAGTCAGTTAAAGCATTTGACAATTTACCAACACAGAATTTACCTCTTTGGAGGGGCTAGCGGGAGATGTGAATATTGTCATCCAATAGGACCATACAAACATAACAAAGAACAGATGGAAAGCCACAAGGTAAACAACGGTCTTTCCTGGTAAATAAAAACAAACAATATTTCATTGAGTCCAGGTGAAAACAAGAAAATGCATTACATTAGAAGAGGATGGTCACAAGACATAATTTAATAAAAACTCTTATTTAAATACCAAATATATAAACTCCTTTATCTATATGATACAACAGTAAGAGATAGTAAGAAATAGCCTACCGTTGTATTTCAGGGTGTAAGGTTATAAAATAAACTTTACTTATAAAGCATAAGTTTTCGAATAAAGGCTGTATTTGGTGAGACTTGATTACATTCGGTTGTTGAGGATCTAAGCTAAACACACATCTGAACACTTTTGCTCACTGCTTCCTTTCTTTCATTAAGACAGAGTCTCTACATAGCCCCGGCTGTCCTGGCACTCACTCTGTAGACCAGGCTGGCCTTGAATTGAGAAATCCACCTGCTTCTACCTTCTGAGTGCTGGGGTTAAAGCTGTGTGCCACCACTCCCAACTAGGTTTGAATTTTTTTTTTTTTTTTTTTTTTTTTTTTTTTTTGAGGGTTTCTTTATATAACAATCCTGGCTGTCCTGGAAGTTGTTTTGTAGAACAGGCTGGTCTTGAGCTCACAGGAAGCTACCTGCCTCTGCCTCCTGAGTGCTGGGACTAAAGGCGTGCGCCACCACTGCTGGGTTGAAGTTTTGAAAGAGAAATTCAACAGGCTGGTCTTGAACTTACTATGAAGCCCAAGATGGCTGGAACTCATGACCCTCCTGCCTCTGCTTCTCTCATGCTAGGATGGTTAAAGAGTATAACAATGTGCACCCACAGATAGCCACTCTTGGTAACTTTAAGTTTTCCTTAAATGTTAATTCTCAATGACTTAAAAGGACCCATCACTGTGAACATTAAGCCAAGGGGAATTGGAAACAGAAAACAAAAAAGTTTTTAATGTCACCAAAAATAATGAATAAATTTGAAAACTCAATTCCTGTCTGGGTTAGAGTATTTTGAAATTTATTCTCCTGTTCAACATAGGCTAACAAGAAAAAGTTACCACTGTTAGTTTCTACCAGAATCTTTTCCAAGTAGATTAGTGTTCCATTTGACATCTGTGACTCCAACTATCAACTCACTGATGCAATATTAAGCCTTTTGTTTTATTCTGTAGTTTTTCTATTTGAAACAAGTAGGGTTAGGGTTAGTTTTTATAAGAAGTGAGAATTGACTTTTTTTTTTTTTGGTGTGAAATGTCCTACATATACACTCTGAAGATAACAAATTTGAACTCTACTCATTTTTAAGCTCAAAAGTTCTCTCCATTCTCAGAATTTACTTTTCACAGGGTTTCCTCTTTATTACTCGTACTTGCTTAGACTCCAATTAAAACACTTACAAAGTCAGTGATAAATTAAGCCAGGCAGTAGTGGCACTCGCCTTTAATCCCAGCACTCAGGAGGCAGAGACAGGAGTATCTCTGTGAGTTGGAGGCCAGCCTGGTCTACAAAGTGAGTTCCAGGACAGCTGGACTGTTAGACAGAGAACCCTGTCTCAGAAAAAAAAAACAAAACAAAAAGAGGGTAAATTAATGCATGCAAAACATCAATGTGTTCTAACAAAACTAGGGGACTTTCTAGTCCCATTTGACTTTAGCTACTCAAATCTCCATTGCTTCCTCTTGAAAGCCTCTTAGCATATGACATTCGCTTTCTAACCCTTAGGAATATGAACACCGAGGCTCAGAGAATTTAATTTAATGTCACTTGTATGAAACCTTAATACCAGAACTGAAATTTACAACTGCTTGATAAAAATCTAAAGGTTTTCACTTCTATCACCGTAAACTGTGTTTTCATCCACTTGTTTTTAAACCATATTTTAAATGGTCAGCAGTTCTACTTCTGTGCTAATATCTGAATTCTATATTTAAAGTATTCTTTCTTTTCATTTACACTAATACTGTCATCCACACTAAAAATCCTGGCCTCTGAGCAAGCTGCATTTCTCTATGTTCTCTATGTCTGTTCCCTTGAGGTCAATCTCACAGTCTATCCAGTGGACTCGAAACCACTGATTCATTGCTTTTTCCTTTGGAAACTCATTTGGGACTTAGTTCCCTTCTCTGACACCGGTGCTGAGGCCATTCACTGACTCTGAAGTGATATTTTACCAGTACCTCCTGTCTTCATTTTTCTTTTCTTTGCCCTTATCAAATTAGCATCTTCATCTACACCAGTGGTTCTCAACCTGAGGACCTCGACCCCTTTGACAAACCTATACCACCAAAAATATTTTTATTACGATTTATAACAGTAGCAAAATTGTAGTTACGAGGTAGCAGTGAAAAATTATTTTTAAAAATTTATTTACTTATTTTTATTACATATGCAGTGTTCTGACTGCATATTTGCCTGCACACCAGAAGAGGGCACCAGATCTCATGATAGGGTTCTGAGCCACCATGTGGTTGCTGGGAATTGAACTCAGGACCTTTGGAAGAGCAGTCAGTGCTCTTAACCTCTGAGCCATCTCTCCAGCCCCAATGAAAATTTTATGTTTAGGGACACCACAACATGAGGACCTGTATTAGAGGGCCACAGTGTTAGAAGCTTGAGGACCACTGGACTATACACTACTAGTTTAAGACTTCTTAATTACTTACAACTAAGACTAGCATAAACAGAATCTTGAACTCTTCTCTTAACATTTAGTATTCCTTTAGGAAGGTTCCACTCTCCATACACACAAACAAACTGGCTTGCTTTAAAACGCATTTTCAGTTAAATAAATTAAGCTCTAAGCACAATGCCTGGGATATAATGAACAGACAATAACTGACAAATAATAAGAGAAAATACTGCTTTTAACTAATTTCAAAAATAAAGTAAATATTAATAACTGTTAATTGTTCAATAGTTTCAGTTGTTTTAGAATCCTCTGGGTTTTTGTATGCTGAAGTCTAATTTTGTTTTTGAAATTTTACTTCAATGGTACTACTAAAGTCTTCTTTAATTCTAGTGAAATTCTTAGAAAGGATCCCCACCCCAGGCATTGTTTGATTGGTCATTATAAACTCTTGTAATCCCTTGACCTAATAATACAAATTTAAAGTCTGGTTATTTGATTAATATCTGTGAGTACTAATGTGCTATTTTGAACAAATACATGGACAATGGAATCATCCCTAAGATTTAGGCATTATGAGAGCAGACCTGTCTCTCTCCCAGTGAAGACTGCTATCAGAATTGAAATGGACAGAGCTCTGGGGAACACACAAAGCAGAAATGCATGAATTTACACAGAGCAGTACTAAGTGTCTTGCAAAACATGGCTACATTAATCCTTTAAAATACTGCTTGCCTGGGAAGAAACCTAGCATTCTCTCCTTTTAATTACTTAAAAGTTGAAGATACATGTTTTCTTTCAGGAAAACAAAAACACATGTATTCACCACTAAATGAAAAGTACATGGTTTACAAATGACTCTACTTAAAGGGAGACTAAGAGTCTTACCATTTTCTCCTTTTCCAGAAACAGTAACTAGAAGAAAAAAAATATGAATAAATATATTTTATACATGAATTTTATTTCAAACTGAATATTTACCTAAATTTCATTTTCACAAAACTTCAAAAACATTCTTTATCATTAGCAATATAACTACTTAAAATTTATAGACCTCTTTAAACTTGAGAAGTGTTGACTGAGATCCTTAATCCCACAAAAGGAAAGGACTGTTCCTTCATTAGAATACAGTATACCTTCCAACCTTTTCCTGAAAACTATACTCAAGAATTCCCTCTGGGTCTGGGAGATAGTTCAGTTGATAAAGCACTGGCTTCAAAAACACAAGGCATGTGTTTGATGCCCAGCACCCATGTGCTGGAGGGGAGCACCTGTATCCTAATCCTGGGTACGTGGTTACAGGCAGATAGATCCCTGGGTGTCCAGACAACTTAGCCTAGTCACTGACATTTGGGACAGGGTGTAAGAGGACACATCTGGACAACGTTGGATGAAAGGAGAACATAACACAACCCAGTTCCTGAGGGAAGAAATCCAAGATTGACCCCTGGCCTACACAATATTCATATTTCCTTTAAACTGATGCACAGTAGTCATACATATTTAGGGAAAGAGTATTAATAATTCATGTATACATGTAAAGCTCTCAAATTAGGGTAGTTAACACAGAAAAGCTACTTCCTCTTCCATCTTTTTCCATTTTGTACCTTTTTTTAAAGAAGTTTTTATTAGCTGGGTGTGGCGGCACACATCTTTAATCTCAGAACTCGGGAGGCAGAGGCAAGAGGATCTCTGTGAGTTTGAGGCCAGCATGGTCTATAAAGTGTGTTCCAAGATAGACAGAACTAGACAGAGAAACCCTGTCTTGAAAAACCAAATGAAAATAAATATTAGTAACTGTTAATTGTTCAATTGTTTCAATTGTTATAGAATTATCTGGGCTTTTGTATATTGAAATCTAAAGAAATTTTACTTCAATGGTACTACTAAAGTCTTCTCTTTTTTTAAAAAAGATTTTATTTATTTATTTATTTATTTATTTATTATGTATACAACATTCTGCTTCCATGTATATCTGCACACCAGAAGAGGGCACCAGATCTCATAACAGATGGTTGTGAGCCACCATGTGGTTGCTGGGAATTGAACTCAGGACCTCTGGAAGAGCAGTCAGTGCTCTTAACCTCTGAGCCATCTTTCTAGCCCCTGTACTAAGTCTTCTTTAATTCTAGTGAAATTCTTAGAAAGGATCCCCACCCCAGGCATTGTTTGATTGGTCATTATAAACTCTTGTAATCCCTTGACCTAATAATACAAATTTAAAGTCTGGTTATTTGATTAATATCTGTGAGTACTAATGTGCTATTTTGAACAAATACATGGACAATGGAATCATCCCTAAGATTTAGGCATTATGAGAGCAGACCTGTCTCCAGTCCAGTGAAGACTGCTATCAGAATTGAAATGGACAGAGCTCTGGGGAACACACAAAGCAGAAATGCATGAATTTACACAGAGCAGTACTAAGTGTCTTGCAAAACATGGCTACATTAATCCTTTAAAATACTGCTTGCCTGGGAAGAAACCCAGCATTCTCTCCTTTTAATTACTTAAAAGTTGAAGATACATGTTTTCTTTCAGGAAAACAAAAACACATGTATTCACCACTAAATGAAAAGTACATGGTTTACAAATGACTCTACTTAAAGGGAGACTAAGAGTCTTACCATTTTCTCCTTTTCCAGAAACAGTAACTAGAAGAAAAAAAATATGAATAAATATATTTTATACATGAATTTTATTTCAAACTGAATATTTACCTAAATTTCATTTTCACAAAACTTCAAAAACATTCTTTATCATTAGCAATATAACTACTTAAAATTTATAGACCTCTTTAAACTTGAGAAGTGTTGACTGAGATCCTAAATCCCACAAAAGGAAAGGACTGTTCCTTCATTAGAATACAGTATACCTTCCAACCTTTTCCTGAAAACTATACTCAAGAATTCCCTCTGGGCCTGGGAGATAGTTCAGTTGGTAAAGCACTGGCTTCAAAAACACAAGGCATGTGTTTGATGCCCAGCACCCATGTGCTGGAGGGGAGCACCTGTATCCTAATCCTGGGTACGTGGTTACAGGCAGATAGATCCCTGGGTGTCCAGACAACTTAGCCTAGTCACTGACATTTGGGACAGGGTGTAAGAGGACACATCTGGACAACGTTGGATGAAAGGAGAACATAACACAACCCAGTTCCTGAGGGAAGAAATCCAAGATTGACCCCTGGCCTACACAATATTCATATTTCCTTTAAACTGATGCACAATAGTCATACATATTTAGGGAAAGAGTATTAATAATTCAAGTATACATGTAAAGCTCTCAAATTAGGGTAGTTAACACAGAAAAGCTACTTCCTCTTCCATCTTTTTCCATTTTGTACCTTTCTTTTGTGTGTGTGTTTTGAGATAGGGTTTAAACTTGCTCTATAGACAAGGCTGGCCTTGAATTCACAGAAATCCACCTGCCTCTGTCTCCTGAGTGCTGGGATTAAAGGTGTGCACCACCACTGCCCAGCCTTGTCCTATTTTTAAGATTTATTTATTTTCTATATATGGTGTTCTATCTACATATAGAGCCAGAAGAGAACATCAGATCCCATTATAGATGGCTGTGAGCCAACATGTGGTTGCTGGGAATTGAACTCAGGACCTCCAGAAGAGCTGCCAAGGTTCTTAAACCACTGAACGAGTCATCTCTCCAGTTCCATTTTGTACTAGTTTTTTTAAAAGCTTTTATTAGCTGGATGTGGTGGCCCACTCCTTTAACCCCAGAACTCAGGAGGCAGAGGCAAGAGGATCTCTGTGAGTTTGAGGTCAGCCTGGTCGACAGAGTGAGTCCCAGGACAGCCAGGGCTACAAAGAGAAACCCTGTCTCAGGGAAGAAAACGTTATTTTTATTTTATGTATGTGGGGGTTTGGCTTGAACATTGGTGCACCACTTGTGTGCCTGATGCCCATGGGGGCCAGCAGAGGGAGTCAGATCACCTAGAAATGGAGTTACAGATTGTTGTGCGCTGCTATATGGGTCCCGGGAAACGAACCTGGGCCTCTGCAAGAGCAAGCCCTCTGAGGAATCTTTCTTCAGGCCCCATCTTCTATTACCCTCGTGAGTACACGAAAAGCCTTCAGTCTACAGTGCCTGAAAATGTGGGAATTACTACTTATTCTTTCGGGATGATCCACAAGCATTTCGATCATGTTGAGTCCAAGCCGGTTTCCAACACACCCTTGCTTCGACTGAAGCACCCTTGCTTCCATCTCTTTCCTTGCCTTCCTCAAATGTAATACTTAAGGCACCTACCTGCCCATTTCAGTTTAACACATTCACCACCAGCAAACCTGATGGCTGAGTACTCTTTTATCAGCTGTGTCACCTCCAGAATGAAGTCCAAAGTCTCCCAGATAGCCAGCACTATGGGCTAGCCATAATCTATCGTCTGTCTTGCTCATGCTTTTAGTCTAACTATTCTGAACAAATGTGTTACAGAACACAACTTCACAAGCACTATGTTTCTTCCAATCCTCCTTTCAGAGCTCGGTGTGAACACTTCTTCGTCTCTAAAGCCTTCCTGAGCCGGCTTCCACAATAGAAATCACATGTTTTTGTTACTACTGCTCACTCCCACATCTGTTTCCAATCCTCACAACCTTCCTCTTCTCTATATCATCTCTCATCTTATCCTTAACTTGGGGGGGGGGGTTGACACAGGGTTTCTCTGTGTAGCTTTGGAGCCTGTCCTGGCACTCGCTCTTGTAGACCAGGCTGGTCTAGAACTCACAGAGATCCGAATGTCTCTGCCTCCAGAGTGCTGGGATTAAAGGCGTGTGCCACCAACACCTGGCCTTATTCCATATTTTAAGACTCAAAGAATAATATATATATATATCAGCAGGACTTAAGTAAAATCAAATCTGGACTAAAATCTCTAGATAAGATAGGACTATATGGCTACTTTCTTAAGAAACCAAAAATAAATTTACTTTATTCACCCACCAGCATAATACTAAAGAAATAGTCCAATTATCATCAGGTTTAAGACAAGTTTTTGATCATTACTTTTTAAGAAAAATATATACTTTACAGCTGCATAAGGTTTCTCAATCCATCTTAGATGTTAGATAAGGTCCGGATGTCTCAACCCCCTGGCTCCATCTCCCTTAGCAGATAATGTCCTGTATATACTATGACTTGAATGAAAATTCCCGAGAAGTACTATACCTGCCAAGCCAATTAAAAAAATAAAATAAACATTCAAAAATTGAGGGGTGTTAAAAGTGGCTCAAGAGGTAAAAATGCTTGCCCCAAAGCCTGGATCTGCATAGTGAAAGGACTAACTCCTAGATGTATGCATGACACACAAATCTTATCACCACCACCCACACACAAGGAAGTAAATGTTAGGGCTGGAGCAATGGCTTATTGGTTAAAAGCACTAGTGGCTCTTCCAGGAGCCTCAGGATCGACTCCCAGAACCCACACAAGGGATCACAACCATCTGTAACTCTAGCTCCAAAGGATCCAATACCCTCTTTTGATTTCCATGGGAACCAGGAATGCACATGATGCACATACATGAAGGCAAAACACTCATATACATTATAACACACACACACACACACACTATATACGTACTCTTAAATTAAGTGAGCCAGGCATGGTGGTATACACCTTTAAACCCAGCACTCAGGTGTCAGAGGTAGGCACATCTCTGTGAATTCCAGGCCAGTCAGGAATACACAGAGAGACCCTGTATCAAAAAACCAAGTGAATAAATAAATGCAAAATAATTTTAATGAAATTGAAGAGGAGGTGTTGGTGACACATGCCTTTAATCCCAGCAATTGTGAGGCAGAAGCAGGCGGATCTCTGTGAGTTTGAGGTCAGCCTGGTCTACAGAGCAAGTTCTAGGACAGCCTCCAAAGCAATACAGAGAAACCCTGTCTCGAAAAACAAACAAGAAAAAAAAAAAAAAAAGAAAGAAAAGAAAAACTGAAAAGGAGAACTGAGATGTAACTCAGTTGGTACAGTGACGGCCTACCAAGCATGAAACTGGGTTCTAAACCCAGCAATGAAATGGAGGCAGGAGGATTAGAAGTTCAAAGTCACAGTGAGTTCCAGAGTTCCAAGGCCATTGTGGACTGTATAAGACTGTCTCAAAAACAAACAAACATGATCTACACATAGGTTATATAATAAGTACTGTCTGTAACTCCTGTTCCAGGGGATCTGACACCCTCACACAGATACACATGCAGGCAAAACATCAATGAACATAAAATTTTTAAAAAGTGTGTATGTGTAAAATTGATATGCAGAAGTCCGCACCTTTCCTTTTTGAAATGTTATCTAGAAGCAGTAATTGAAGAAATTGGGTGCAGAGATGGCTCAGCAGTTACAAGTGCACACTGTTCTTGCAGAGGACTTGAGTTCAATTCCTAGCATCCATGTCAGTAGCTCACAACTGCCTTTAGTTCCATCTCTACAGGATAAGTCCTTCTGGACTCCAAGGACACCTGCATTATGTGCACACACACCCCTCACCACCAGACACATGGGTACAAATATATATAATAATTAAACCAGCAGATGGATAGTACAGAAAGCCATAACTGGTCAAAATGCAGAGAACTAACTGTGGGGTACTCATCCCAAATTAATACACATACAACACAACCCCTACACCTAAGGCTCAGGGACAGCAGAAGGAGAAGAAAGATTGGACCAGAGACTGTGGGAGTCTCTTCTTAAAAAAAAAAAAGACACAAAGTAGAGGGGGATATGGATCTGGGAAGAATGATGTTTGAATATGATCAAATTATTTGAAATTCTCAAATAATAAAAATATTGTTATTTTTAATAAAAATTTTACTATCTTAAAATTCTATAATTAAAGCTGGGTGATGGTGGAGCATGCCTTTAATCCAGCACTCAGGAGGCAGAGGCAGGAGGATCTCTTCTAATTTGAGGCCCCCTGGTCTACAGAGTGAACTCCAGGACAGCCAGGGTTACACAGAGAAACCCTCTTTGAAAAACAACAAAAACTATAATTGAAGAAAAGCACTTAAAAACAAACTCCCAGGAAGAAGCGTAAGAAACACAGAAGCTTACATAAGTAAAACCATATTTTAAATGATTTGTATTTGCTGGGCATTGGTGGCTCAAGCCTTTAATTCCAGCACTCGGGAGGCAGAGGAGGCGGATCTCTGTGAGTTTGAGGCCAGCCTAGTCTACAGAGTGAGTTCAGGACAACCTCCAAAGCAATACAGAGCAACCCTGTCTCAAAAAATAAAACAAAACAAAAAACAAAATGACTTATATTTTTATGTGTAAGAGTGTTTTGCCTGAATGTTATATATGTATACTACATGTATGCCTGGTGCCCATGGAGACCAGAAAAGGGCATTGGACTCCCTGGAACTGGAGTTACAGGTGGCTGTGAGCCACTATGAAGGTGCTGGGAACCAAACCCAGGTCCTACGGTAGAGCAGCAAGTGCTCCTAACCAGTGAGCCATCTCTCCAGCCCAAATAAAAACATTTTACTTTGTATGAGAATAACAAAAACAGGTCTGAACAAATAGGCTCTTACAGGGGGATGCATCATTATTGTTTATCATACACCAAGTAGTGTTTTCCCAGTAATAAAGCTGTTTTTAATTTGACAAGACTCTGAAAGGTCTTTTATAAAAATAAACCCATGAAGTAGGG